CCTCACATTCAATCACGTGATCAGGCATCCCTGGCCGTTATATGCAAAACTAGTTGTTTATGCAGATGACGCAACCTTTGTCATTAGCGGGAATACTCGCAGCGAAATTGAGCAACGTGGCATGGAAGTATGCACTATCTTCGCAAATCTATGCCACAGTATTAAATTAACCATATCCGAGACCAAATGCACAGCGCTGCTCATCCCTAAAAAGGGGAAGAATCCAGTCAGGAAGCCATGTATTCCTATCAATGGGAAAAACATAAAATTTTGCAATGAAGTGAAATTAGTAGGGCTTGTATGGGATAAAGGACTTACCTGGCTACCTTACATAGCATACCTCAAGCCATTGCAAACAAAATACGTCAACTGCAGGGTGCCACTTGAGGAAGGAACACTCACTTCCAAAAATTACTATATAAAACAGTAATTGAAAAAAAGGTTGCCTACGCCGCTGCCATCTGGGCGTCAGCAATGGGAAGATGCAAAGTTAAACAGCTGCTCTTAGTACAACGGCCATTTGACATCACCATAACCAGAGCCTTCCGAACAACTTCCACAGATGCGCTAAACGTTTTAGCCGACCTGCTTCCACTCCACATCTACGTCGAGCATGAGGCAGTGCTAGCAAAGTTACTCCACCTGCAACAGGAAATTACCTACTATGGGTCCACATTCGCACCTACAGAGTTTGACCTACGATGTTCTGTATCACACACTCATCCAGCAGATAGAGGAAAAGGCGTCAAAGTCATACTGACACAGCACAGCGACTCAGAGCTGACCTCAACCATCTTCACAGATGGCTCAAAATCTGATGCAGGTGTAGGAAGTGTCCATCTCACTAACTCTGAACACACGTATCAGTGGAAGGGGCACCTCGCGGAACATAACAGCGTCTTCCAGGCAGAGGCAGTCCGCTATGCCATTACACAGAATCTCCGAAATATACAAATAATCTCAGACAGCCAATCTGTGCTAAAAGCGATCCGAAATCCTTCACATTATTCACAGCCAGTAAGGTCCGTACAACAATTACTTTGCAACAGCACGCTGGACCAAAGCATATGCAGGATATTCGGGGAATGAGCTCGTTGATTCTCTAGCCAAAGAAGCGGCTTCTAATATAGAGGCAACAAAATGCTATTTCCCGGCACCAAGATCCTATCTTAAGCGCCGTATTCTGAACATTTTTCTACAAAAATGGCAAATGGAATGGGACGACAGCGACAAAAAGCGTCGTACGTACGATTTTCTCCCAAAAGTCTGCAGACTCTGCTCTGCCGCACAGCTTACTAGATATATCAGTGGACATGGCCCATTCCCTGAGTTCATGATGGCTCGGGTTCTTCACCCGAGCCATCATGAACTCGGGCCTTTGTATTTGCGGAGCACATGGAAACCCTGATCACTACGTCACGGAATGTCCACTAACTGAAAGGTTCCATATTAGAATGCCTTCCGCCAATATCAACCCATTCAGACGGTTCATATTGAGAATTCCAGCCCTGCAACAGAGAATCTACAACATCATTAACCTGCTAATGTCATCAGGATTGGATATTGTAGCCACGAACTAAGTAAGATCTATGTCACTTTTCTTTCTGAAACGTTTCCGTGGCGTTTGTACGAGCAAATATTTGCTTTACTCCACCAGCGACAGTGCCAACGAGTGCCACTAGTGCCAGAATTCCAGCAGTAAAAATAATTAATCAACAAGTAATCAAACAGTGAGGTATATAAATATTCAAGCTTACATGAATTTATGTATTCAATGTAAACTACGATATATACGAACTTTATGTATCCCAAGAATTATTGTTTATATAAGTATCAACAACCATACTAAATACTCATAATAATGTATATAGGATAATGTAATCAAATAATCAAATGTTTTATTGCAATCAAGTATTTAATTATATAACTAGTATTTAAATGTATAACGGTATTCATAACATAATTATGTATCTATTCTAACAACGCATGTATTTATTTAAATAACGCAAGCCCCTGATAATGAATGTAAACAGGTCTAATGTATGTCTTACCGTAATCAAGCTGTCAAGTATATAACTAATGTATTCGTGTAACTTTATAGTGTATCCAATGTATTAATGTATTTTATTGATGAATTATATTTCATGCATTTAAGAATTATTATTGTTATGTTGTCCTGGGACTTGGGAGCTGCCGGTTCAAGATAGTGGAGGGCGTGGGATATATACCTGCTTACCTTTGTTAGACATCAGGTGTCCCTGTCTTCCGTCACCTGTCACCTGTGTACGCCCTCCGAAAAAGGACTGAAGCCTTTTAAGCATTTAAGTAGTACAGGCTTTAATAGACAGGCAAGCAACTGAAAGTACTCAGCAGCGAAAAATTCTAAGAATAAATCAATATCCAAATTCACAAGTTATGACAGCGAAATTTTTAAATACTTTTCTTGATTTTCCGAAACATGTTACATATGACTGCAGAAATACTATCTTTTCATTGCTCCTATCCGTAAATGTTGCATCAAAGCAAAACTAATTGTTAGATATACTTTTTAAATTTTTAACAAAAAAGTAAAGTATCTTCTTTGGAGAAGTGAAATAAATTCATTTAAAATAAATCTTTTATTTTAAATAAAGCTCGTCGGCGCAGCTTAAATATACGTCTCAATTTATAGTAGTTCTCATAACATTTACGAAATTTTCTACTCTGAATAAATTCTGCTGAAATACAGTTCCAAATAAAAATTCTTTTTAAAATGAAATTGTAGGGATTTGTATTTGTTTTGACTAATCAGTTACGTTTATGCTTTCTTTCCTATAAGCCTTCACTCTCTAATTGTCAATGCCAGAATATCCGAATTTGGTAGCGCGCGTGAGGTATGCAAATTCTACGAATTTGGAGGAGAAAAGGTTTAAATACTGAGCTATATTAATTAGGGAAAGTTAGAGAGAGTATGCAAGCACTGTACCTTTATAGCGTGTTTTTGATTCTATATTTATTGTTAGTTAAAGTGGCGTAACTTCTATTATTCTTCTGCCACTAGACTTCGACGCAGTTTTAGATAACAGGATTATCTGAGCCCTATGGAAAATTCTACTATTTTGTTAATATCTTTGAATTTTAAGTTTAGTTCTTGCTAGTTGAATTACTGCACGAGCGAGGCGTAGTTTGTTAGCGTCAAGTCGATGCATTGTGAATTTTTGAAGAATCTAATAAAGGGTTCTTTTAACCCTTTTCCTGTCTGGTTCCTACACTTACTTCAGCAGACACAATGAAAGTTGAGAGACCAGATATTACAAAGTAACTTGTGCTTGTGGGGGAAAATTAATGTAAATTTACAATCTTTTGTTGCAGGGAAGATTTGAACTTCCTTCATGTATAAGAACTGATGAAATGTAATTTGCTTATTTTTATTTTTATATTGTTATCGCTTAAATAATTAGTGCATCTATTTAAAAATTTATCTAATACCATAATTATCTTCCATTAATCTAGCAAGCAAGAAATAATTTTGTACGGTTGATTCTCATGGTTTTTCTAAAGTGTAAAATAAATCCGAGCCAGTCTACTTTAAAAATCTTTCACAAAGGCATCCCTCTGATTAGGCAGATAGCTCTTGTATGCTTTGCTATATTCAAGTAATCTAACCTAAACTAAAAAATATTTTTCTCTGACTAGATCTGCAAGTAAAAAAATTGGTTTACTTTGACAACACAAGCTAAATATGTTATATCTAAAAACATAACATAATTTATGGGAAGAAAAGAAAAAGCTAACTAATATAATAAAATTTAGAAATAATCTCATAAATTTACATAAAGGAAGCATGTAAAAATACTCAGCAATGAAAAGCAACATCATGCCATTTGTAAAATTATAATAATTGAAAATCTTCATTCAGAAACATATTACAAACAACAAGAACCTGGTTTGAGAGAGTGGTGGAAGTATGAATTAATTTGTAATGTGATAGAAGGTACCACGCATGGAAGTACCTAATGCATTTTGAAACAAAGCAGAGCACGATGCAAAGTACTGCAATAAAATGTATCAAATATTTTTCACATTGTCTTTTAAAAGCAACAGAAGTTGAACTATATCTGCTAAATAAAAATAACTCCCTAAATTACAAATTTTAAGCAGTGAGACAAAAAGGAGAGTGTACTCTCTCTCTCATGACGTCTTTGCTTCCGCACCTTTGTTAATACAAATAAAAGTGAATTGATTGCCAATTCATTATTCGCTTCTGTTCATAATTAATCGACTCTTTAATTATTATATATTAATTATTACTGATATCATTCACATACAATGTTTACCTGAAAATTTAGTAGTGAAGAGAAAGTTCAGCGAGGAAAAAAAAAAAAAGGTGACAAAAGTCCTCAAAACAAAAAGAAAAAATGTTGTTTTGTCAGCCTCTCTTCATAACATTGTATAGATAATGGTAGAATGTGTAGGCATTCATCACAAAATATAGTTCAATAATTTCATAGTATCACATTAAAAAAATGCGCTATGAACTATAAACATTTTGAGAAAAACGAAATAATTAAAATCACAAGCTATTAGCATTTAAAAATAATATTTTTCGAAAGGTTTTGAAACAGTTAATTATGTATGAATCGGCGAGTGGAGGAAATTTGGGGATCGTCAAGCAAAGGGAATTTAAACAAGGTCTGCGCCTAAAGATTATTCCCACCGAAGAAGAACTGCGTGACCAAGGTCTTGAAAGATTAGGGTGAGGAAGAGTGAGAAATTTTTGGTGGTCAAATTAAATGTTTGCTGTGACGTGTGTGACATGCTTGGAATACAGGTACACATTCACAATGTTACATCCCCGTGACACTGTTCCTTGGTCAAAGATTACAATCACATTTTGACATCTTAATATAATAAAGTAAAATATTTTTAAAAGGCATTTTATCAGAAATTTTATTTCTACTGTAACTTATGTAAGCAATCACTTAAGCTAATGGAAGTGTAGAACATAAATTTCTTCTTACCAGACGATGAAGAATTTTGTTTTGTCGCAGATATTCCAAAATCTGGAAAGAAAAAAATAGGAAAAGAAATAATTTTAAAAACAAGAGAATAATTAGACTTTTTTAAATTTCTAAATTCTCTAGAATGTCGAAGCTTATTGTTACTTATATTTATCGGACAGAGTTGTATGCTACAAGTCACATAAAATGCATATGATTTTAATTGGAAGTAAAATCTTTTTTTCCTTTTAGTTAGCAAATTTCTTCTCTTGCGCTAAAAGAAAATTAAAGATGCGAACGATATCTAGAACAAACTCTGAAAATATTATCTATATACTTCTTAAAACACAAAGATTTAAGAAGACTGTATATAAATGATGCTATGCAGTGTCGTGCCGTAGTTTTTATCAAAGAAGTAAGGTGTAAAGAAAAAATACAGTTTGCATAATACATAATTTGAACAAGAATAATAAATGTATAAATGGCAAAACTTTGAAATTCAAGTAAAGGGGAATAATTAAAGGTGATCTTATAAGAGTTAATAAATAAATAAGTATTCTTTTGCTTGAGGAATGTAGCAATAAATAAATAATAATGATAAAATATCTATCTTAAAATGCAAAATACTAGCAGAACCATCTACTTTTCTATCAGCGGGCTATTAATCATCTTAAATTTATGCAACATTACACTTTTGAATAACATGTATGTCGAAAACACATCACTAATGGTCATCGAGTTGTTTCAAAGCTACAACTTATTTACATTGTAGAGAAAGCAGGCAAGATGAAAAATATGCAACGCCTTCGACGGGATTCGAACTGCGGACCTCTTCAATTACGCGCTGAGCGTTCAGACCACTACATCACGAAGGCTCTCTAAGAAGGCGGGAGAAATACCTTATATATACTCCCCCTTTTAAAGGGCGACTGGGGTTTAATGGGACCCAATCGCCAAATCCTGAGTGTGGAGAATCATCATCCAACACAATTTTTAGTTCGGGCGCCAGTGTAGAGACATTAGGTAATTTGGACGCAGGAAAAATGAAAAATATGCAACGTCTTCGCCGGGAATCGAACCGCGGACCTCTCAATTACTCGCTGAGTGTGCAGACCCCTACACCACGAAGGCTCGCTAAGAAGGCGGGAGAAATACCTTATAACATGAAATAAATATTGTAACAAATTTTTTATATGTGCAGATAATTTTGGTGGAATTATATCTGAACTTCTTGTATTCTTGTTTATTTTTGGAATTGAATAACTGTAATTGATTTCATATGTAACTGTAACCGTATCCGGTATATGCCTTCCACTAATTTCGAGAAGTACTAGAGATTTCTCGGTGGCCAGTGAAAACTGCACGAGACCGCAGAGAGCACTTGCTTTCAGTTGTCAGTTCAGAGCCGAAGTCGGAGTTTTGAGATATCCGAGGGAGCTTCACCTTTTAGATGCGCCTAGCACTGCATTGTATTTAACTTTCTTAGTAGTTCACTGAAGTCATTTCTTCGTCACTGAAGTTCTCCCTCATAAGATTAATATAGACTTTTGCATTGATTTAAGCTAATTATTGAATTTGTACGCGACGGTGAAAATTATTTTTTCCCATTACAAATAGTATTAAATTAATATAGCATAATCGCTTGTACGCGCTGCACATTGCTGCTTGATTACTGCTTGCTGCTTGATCTGAAGTACCAATAAGGTAGGTAAAATAAAAAATAATCAACAAAAAGCGTACCATTTCATAGGTATAGAAATTTATATTGGGTATTGATTTAATGTGTAAATTAATAAGATGTTATGTTAAGTTATGATAATTATGTTAAATTAATGTTTAATTAAGTGATTAATGTTTAAATAGCAGTTGTGCAAGTTATTTTGAATTTTCATATTACTTAATTAATTCTTTAATTATACGTAAAACTTCGATGCATTCTAATATGTGTATTTAAATACGAACAATGAAGCGACATAAGTGAAAGTGAAAACTTCAGTTATGAAAAGGAATATAATAATGTAATACAGTCAAATTACATTCGTATTTTTGGTGGTTGAATTTATGTTTCTTCAGCAAGGATATTTGAATTATCATATATCATGTACAAATATCTGCCACACTTAAATATAGGGTAGCATTATCTGAATATTTTGACTCCTTTTCAAAATAAGGAAATGTTCAAGTTACTGCACCGTGCAAGTTATTAGCCCGAAGGGCGTTAGCCCAGAAGAGCTATTAATTTCTTTTTGGCATTTTGCATCTGAAATTTTAAAATTCTGAATCATTTTTCAAATTGTTGCCACCACATGTTATCGCCCTATTTTATAGTTAAAGAAATTAAATAATGAAGAATCTGCATAAATGTATGTATGTTTCTCGCATTGTGATAAAACAATGGTACCTAGAGCCATCAAATTTTGAATAACGTACGTCTTCACCCGAATATGAGCATCTGGAAGATTTGGAATTTGGAATTTGATATATTATCTATTTCATATTTTGTAAAGCATTTATGAGTTTTTGATTAAGAAACGTAACAATTTAAAAAATATATATATATATACTCCAGCGCGAGAGACTGTGTATCAGGAATTTTAAAGATATGCTATTTAGCTTTTTTTAAACATTTTGTGATATTGCTGTTCAATTGAATTTTATGTGGTTCAAGTGCGAAGAACATGGTATTTAATAAATAAAGGTAACACACAAAGCGTTAAAGAAACACCCTTTTGGGAGTAATATAAAAGCTAAAAGCTTTCAGAATTTTTTTTCTTTTTTCCTTTTTTTGGTATATTACTGTTTGCTAATGTAAAAGAATTCAATATCTGGATCGGATTCTTATTGTCATCGTATCTCGACTAGCAATATTCAACCAGGATTACAGGTGAACATTTTATTTTTATAACTTTCGCTTTAAATGTAAAATTCTTTAAATGATAAACCATAGGCTCTGAAGATAATTTTGAAAAAAATTCTTCTGAAGAAAATTGAAGAAGCGATCAGACAGAAATAAGACTCTAGGAATATAAATAAATTTAAATCTCAGGCAAATTAGATTCCGGGCATTAGGGACAAGTTGGAACAGCTTTAAACATCAGACAGAGAGTTAGGTACAGAATAAATAGCCTTAATTTCAATTTCTTGTATTTCAACATTTAAATTTTATATTCGCTTAATACAGGATGCGGCAGGGAAACTATCTTCTTTTTAAAATGAATAACACAAATAGTCTAAGCCATATCAGTTTAATTTTTTTTCAAGTTATAGAGAGACGCTATAACTTGAAGTGATTGATAAGTTTTTTATTACGGTTTAAAAATAATATCATTAAGGTGGCCTCCGTTCTAGTCAATGCATTCAGAAAGTCGAGTTTTGAAGTTCCTTTGCACTTTTACCAGCATATCAACGGGTATGTTGTCGATAGCAGCTTGAATATTGTTCTTCAGTTGAGCCAGGGTCTTTGGACGTTAGAGATTTCAGATAGCCCCACAAAAGAAATTCACACGGGCTAAATCAGGCGAGCGCGCTGGCCACTGACAATCGCGTCGTAAGGAGATAAGGCGTCCAGGGAAATGTTCTCCAAAAAATCATGGTCCAATGATGCCTATGCTTGACAATGCACACCAAACAGTCACACGTTCTGTATGGAGGGGCTACTCATGAAATTCTCGTGGATTCGTGCCACTTCATTATCGCATGTTTTGCTTAATGCATGCTGCAACCGGAAAGATGAAAATGAACCTCGTCGCTAAAGAACACAAGGGCATCATGAGGCGTATTGTCAAGAACGGCTTTGCTTGCATTTTTTCGTGAAAGAAAATCGCGTGGATTAAGTTTTTGCACCACTGCCAATTTATATGGATGAAAATGCAGTACGGTGAAAAGTACGACTCCACGGAGAACGCGCGCTTCTCTCTTGTCCGCTGCATGATCGGTACTAAACCTACATGACATAAAACTTTAGATACCGCTCTTTTCAAAGAGCGCCACCCCATTCTTCTCGGATTAAATATCCCTAGATGGCGAGCGTTTCAAATAAGGAAGTTTCCCTGCCGCACCCTGCACTTATGTCATTCGATGACCCCTTATTGAGTCTGCATGGTCTATGATTCCAGCATGACGAAGCACCAACATTCTCAGCTCTCCTGTACATGACGGTTTGAATAAAGAATACAGAAATCTATAGAATGGGCATGTTGTTCCGGTTGTATGGTAGCCTCGATCTGCCATTGCTGACACTTTGGAATATTTCTAAGGGATCACCCGAAGAATTAGCATATCGGAATCCCAGTTACTACATAAACAGTCTTAGTTGCTTATCTTTTCATGCTACGTTCACCTTTTGTGCCACCAAGCTTCTCTCTTGTGTTCAGTCAGGCATTTCACGGTGCGCATAAGAATATTTCTGTATTCGGTATTTATTTTGAGATTTTTCTCGTTTAAATGCAATATAACATTCTTATAATGTCTTGCCCACATTATCGTCTCCGGTAAGGTTTACTTTATATACACCAGACGTAAAATCATTTATTTATTTATTTATTTATTTTTTTGGTATTTTTATCGAAACTTTAGGTAATAGATGGTATGGACCTTGGGTTAGTTTTACGTACTCTGAGCGAAGAATCGTGGAGCTTAAGCACTCTTGACCAAACATATTGCATTTGAAATCTTGCGGATATCTTACGGTGCACAAATAAGCCAACGTTTTGTTGACTTAAAATATCTAATCTTCTTTAACTACGAGTGGCATCTTACAGAGATAAAACAGAGCTCCAATCATGTAATAACACAGTTTTAAAAATGAGGCAAGATAGAAATTACCATATACGTACCTGTTACAAAACGATATATGGCTCTGAAACCTTTTACTTCTGGAGAAGAGCGATACGATCGAAATTCTACTTCCATAGTCGGGCCATTTGACATTAACTGAGCTGGAAGTTTATTGCCACAAAAGTTATCCAGTCTTTCTCTTCGACCATTGATAGTAATGAAAATCATAACTGCATCAAATCCCTCACAACTGAAATAGAAAGATATAATAAATTAACAATATCATGTGCTGTAAATATGTATAATTTAACACCAATTGAAGTGATATTTACAGCAATAGAACACATATCACGTAACAAAACGTTTTTATTATATGACATCACACACTTTTACTTTTATTTATTATGTGATATCAGGCACTTTTACTTTTATTTGTAGTTTGCATTTATGTAGCAAGACTACATTTAACGCTTTGTATGTTTTACCTTTAATAACTTTATTAATACCTCTTTCTTTGTTATGCATTGCAAATTCTTTTACACTTAGTTTGTCTAAATGCTTTAAATTATTTACAGAAATTCAGTTTCCCACAGTTCATGTTGTTTACTTAAATTCATCTCTGCTGCTGTATATTCCAAACGATAGATGAAAATATAAACTAAGTCTGCGATTATTTAGATGCATATAGTTAAACTGTGTTAAATACCCTCAAAAGGCAGAACGAGAAGACAGAGGATAAAGAAAAGAAAACTATACGGTATCGGAAAAATGCAGTACAGAAAGTAGAAAACTCATAATTTATCTAACAAATGGCGGTCTATAGCCGCAACAAATATCATTCTTATCTTAATCTTAATTTCACGCATGCATCGGCAAATTTAAGAATTCCCAATAAAGCAGAGACAGGTAAACAGTTAAATGTTCTGAAATGTCACAAAAAGTGATAGAAATGATTGTCAAGACATTTACGCCTCAATTAACTTCTGTCAAGTTCTATATTCTTGTTGTGTCGTACCATGTATGATTACTAAGTCACAATAAAAATTAAAAAATAAATAAATGTAAAAGTTAAGGATTTAAAATCTTACTACGCGCTTAGGGTTCATAATGGTTTGAATGCACGCAGAACCGATGATAGCTTGATGAAATTTACTTTTCCGGAAACATTTTACGGTTCTGAAACTTTTCATACAAAAGTACTCAAACAGCTCTTTTCAACATGACACAGAACAATCAGTAGTTACCACTTCAAACTACTAAGAACGTTGAACAAGAGGCAATACAAAAAAGCCTCAAATGAGTAAGCTCACACAGTTTCTGGTCCTATTCTGTTGGTTTCTCGAAGTCATCAACGAGAGGTTATTGAGGATGGTTTAATTAAACCATAACGTGTGACTGTGAACATAAAGGTGTCGTTTGAGTTTTCTCCATGCCTAGTTGTTTATATAATTCTTTAATTTCAGACGAGATAAAATTTCTTCCTTGTTTGGTATGTAACTGAAGTGGCGCTTCGATCCTGGAAATCCAATCTAATATCATTACCTCTGCTACCGGGATAGCCTCATAAAACGGGATAGAATACACTTCAGGCCGCTTTCTGAAGTAATCTGTGACAAAGACGATGCATTTGTTGCCATCAGGAGTTCATGGCAGAGGCCCCACTATGTCAAAGGAGATGCGTTCAAAAGGCGCTGCTACTTTATAACGTTTCAGTTTCCCTCGGCTGCGTTTCTTCTGTACTGTCCGAGTGGCCCAGACATCGAACGATTGGCACCACTTTTGCACGCCAACCCTTGCTTTATTCCAGTAGATGCTCTTTCCAACTTTATGCAAAGACTTCACTATTTCGAAGTGATCTCCCTTCGGACTGCTATGAAGTTCTTGAATGAAGTCCGGATTCTTGGAAGTATCATCTGCCATTGGAATGCCTTTCTAGAATTCTTCGATTCGAACTTTCGGTACAAGATGCCGTTTCGAATGTGAAGTACGTCACAGAAAGCCCAATACTGTTCCGTCGTAGTCTTATAGATCGAAATGTCTTGCCAAGTAGGTTTCTTATTCGAAAACTCCATTAGGTTATAAGGTCTCCTTGAATTTCTTTAATCAGTTATTTTATGCTGAAACTGCTTTCCCATCTTCCTGATTTCCATTTTTCTTCCAGAATGAAGAACCTAAGCGAAGCTCAGTCAAGTACAAAATGTACAAAACTTGAAAAGGTGAACAATAAAAATTTCTGCGTCTAAGCCGTCCGAACTACTGTTTTTCTCTTCGTAATTCTGGGCAGATGATTCGTCGAGGCCAGTCACGTGAGTGGTTACCCACCCAAGTACTGACCCAGAGAAAAACCGCTTCAATCTGAACTTCTAGGATAACCTAGAAGAAATGGAAAAAATAACAAATTTGAAAAGTTCAGGAAAATCCTCATTTGGCATCGTCCGATGCGAGTTATTCAGCGTCTTCTGCGAATCGTATATTAGGTGGATGGATTTAATTCCTTTATATTTCATTCGGAACAGGTTTACGTCTTCAGAGGCAGAAAGAAATTCGTTAGTTCTAAAAACCTGGGAAAAACTGTATTACGTTAGAAAGTCTAATGAAAGTATGGAAGGGTCGGTAATATCTGCTACATATTCCGTGTAATTGTAGGCGGCATTCCCAAACGTGATGTTAACATTTAACTTTCCATCGATGTCTATTATATCATTGGTCACAGTATGGAGCGTAACGCATAGTGGCGTCCATTTGCGTTTAACATACATTCGTTGAACCAGACCTTTGAAAATGATGATAATATCGGCTCCTGTATCGATGGTCATATTACAAGGAATTCCATTTATATGTCCCACGATGAAAAGTCGATTACTGCAGCCAATCACTGCCAAAATCGGAAGAGCTTTAAAACGGGATTTCTAAACATCTGGCAAACATCACCCAGCAAGCTTACCACTAATTTTGTTTCCTTCCTCCTTGCTGGCTAGTTCCGTTCTTAGGGTATTCTGCATATACTTCGTAAGTGACCTTCACAACCGCAGTTGAAGAGGCGGGATGCGACACATTTTTTTAAGTTCGTGGCGAGCTCTTGGAATCTTTCTGTGCTCTTTTCTTAACTAGATTTTAACTGAAGCCTGCTGCAGTCTTTTAAACAACTCTTGCCAAAACGCAGATTTAACGCGCCATATAGAGCTTCAAAGTTTTCCACTACTTTTGAGTAGAGATTGGAGTATATCTGCTTCATCTGCTCTCAGAAATGTGGCTAGATGTCAGGCCATAGCAAAGGCATGCCTACATATTTTTTTCTTTGCGGCAAAGAGGTAAATGTGCGCCCCTATATATTTCCGGCCATTTTGGTAAAAAAAGAAATGACCTAATTTATTTTAAAACGTTTAAAATTGCATGTCATTCAGTGACTGAAATTTTGATTAGAAATAAAACAAATAAAAGACACAAAGAAATAAAGCAACGTTCGGATTATGTGTGTAGGGTACTTTTTTCCAGAAACACTTTACAGGTCTGGAAGTTTTCAAACAAAAGTTCTCTTATACCTCTTCTCAGTATGACAGAACACAATCAGTAGTTAGCACTTCAATTCTATGTTACCACTTCGAACACGAGGCAAAACAAGAAAATCTCAAATGCTTAAGCTTTCCCACGGTGCTCTCTTAATACTCTGCAGTGTCAATATCGTAAGCTAAACTCTGAAGTAAACTGAAAACTAATGCTGTCTCCCGTTTTATGAAGTTTTCCCCTTCCAACATGAAATTTCAGCCTACTTATCCTACAAGCTGGTGTTTTTCTCTTAGATCTATTACATTAAATCAAGATCTTCAGTTGATATTAATGTCGTATTTTTTAATACGCAAGCCATAAAAAATTAAATTTTCGTAACATTTGGAGAAATTTGTGCATAATCATAGATGTAAATTTGCTGTGATAATCCTTAGGACAAAAGAATAAAACTTACTCTCTTGGAGGTTCTTCCGGCAAGAAAAGATCGAAATCTGTAAAGCTGATTTGCACTCTTTCTTCTGGTTTGCCTACAAATTTGTACACGCAGTACACATTAGATGAATATGGGTCAGGATAATTTGGGCTAGTGAATGTTCCATTTTTCGAATTTATACTGTTGAGCTCTTGGCCACAAGGAGCTGTAAAAATGAAAACATTAGATAACTCAGTATTAACTAATGAAGATTGTTGAAATGAAAAAGAAAAAGAGTTTTCTGAACATTTTTAACAAATACAGGTAATTATACTTTAATAAATGAATTTTTACTTTTCTTACACTTAATGGCATTTCTTACACTCAATGGCATAAGAGTTTGTACGATCAGCGATTAAAATTAGTTCAAATTATTGGATTTGCTTATTTGGTCAAAGCAGATAATTTCTGGCATTCATTCAAGATCAAAAATAGTAAAATTATCTATAAAACGCTGTTACTTCTCTAACTCTTTACCAACTATCTTCAGCGAGTTACAGTTCACACCACTACACAATAGTTAGACGAATTCTCAATGAAGTTAACTTAATTTATTCTGAACTACAAATTAAGATAAACAAACAGCTTAGAGGCGTATTAAAAGTGATAAATCCAGATTTGAGTATACATTAAATATATTCTCAATGTCAACATTAAAATTAAAATTAGAGAGACGGAAGCATCCAAATCTGCCATTAATTAGCCCAATTAATAAGAACATGCTACCTAAAGAGAACTTAGGCGGAACCAAACAAAATCTGTAAATTACATCAGCAATGGAAATTAGCCCTCCAATATGCAGCAGGCACTATACAAGGGGAAATCGGAGAAAGTATATCCTAATATATTTTTTCAGTTCCTTCAAAACTGTCACTTTTCTGTAATACCATTTGATCACGAACCTTATCTACATATTCCCAAGCGCTCCCGCGGAGAACGTCGTGAACGTTCTCACAGGAACGATGAGAACTGGTGAGGCGGCGGACACCTTGCAAAATAGATTGCGATGTTGTTTCAAAAACTAAATTTCTAGAAATTTAAAATGTGGTAAGAAATTCCTTATTCCTCTTTTTGTTAATGGTTTTGAATAAACTATTATCTCTATAGCCGCTCATTTAATAAAACATGAAATGCTGGAAGTAAAAATTTTACTTCTAACTATAAGAAATGTTAAAAAGAAAATTTCACAAATCCATTTACTGAATTAAGATTTATTCTGTGTGAGTTTATCTATATTTATGCATTTATTTCATTATTGTGATTTTCTGTGCTATTCAGGAATAATTTAGCGTCCTATTGATGTAAAGTTTCGATTCATGAGATATATGTAATTAGTAAATTATAAAAATTCACACGAATATTTATTAGATGAGTTTGAACTCTCAATAGCTGCTTAAATATTTCCTTCTTATTTTTTAAATATTGTTTTTTTTTTAGCACACACTGCTATAGTTTACAACTTAAATGTAAAATAATGTTTGTAATGAAATGGGTGAGACAACATAAAATCTCATATATTTATATTATTCATAATTGATTAATCTTATTCCTTTATTCATACACTTTACACAAAAAGTATTTTGTGTTAGTAAACGAATTAGCGTGATTTAAATCTTTGCTATAACTTTCCTTTTCATAGTCCTCACAGGAACGCAAATTAATTGTTTTCCTGTATTTAAACTCAGGGTTTCTAATGGTTAGATTAAAGGATCTGGCAGCCGCGCCTTGCTGTTACTTACTATCTCCATTTATTGATAAGTTATATTCTGACTTTAGTGGCTTGCTAGTTAACGTTTAAAAATACGCGCCGTTAACCTGTTTGAAACAGCTTAAGTAGATTATTCAGTGTTCTAGTCTCAGAACACGTTACCTACATTTAGAATTTAACATTATCTTATGTGAATTTAAATACTGACCAGAGAAAGTTTGTCTGTCGCACAAGCCGTACGCCGTACATTTATGCTCATTTGAGACTTAAACAAGAAAGGTAATTTTAACATTCTCTAGACTTATCAATAATTTGAATAGCTACTGCTTTTATAGTGTGAGTTGAGCATTAATTAATAGTTTTAAACTGTGGTAAAATGTGCTTTCTTAATCATTTTGATGCATCTTATGATTATAAATTCATTTGAAATGGCCAGAGATTTATTGCTTTAAAATTTTGCAGAGTGTGTTTAAAAAGATGTTACTTGTATGCTATAACTTCAGTATTACTTTGTTATTCTGATTGTTTGCTTAAATCTCTAAATAAAAATTTATTTATTATTATTTATTATTTTTCATCCGTGAAACTTTATTTTCAAGTTCTGGTATACAATTAAGTATATATACAACTAATATTATTGTTTTTATGGATTTAAGTAATAATTTTAAATTGAAGTGTTAAATTATTTGCTAAATAAACCTCTAATATACTAATTTATTTGAAACTTGCAAGATACATAGCATATTATATTTAAAGTTTGGTACATTTTTATAATATTTACTTTTAAAGACAAATTACTGGTTTGAAGAAAAATGAAGTGGTAAGTAGTAGCTTGTATGCAGATAATCTGGAAAATCTTTTTTTCCCATGAATATTAGAAAAATATAGAGCAACATTAAGAATGGCAACTTAAAATATTGAATTATGAGATTAAAGCTGAAATTTCTTTTTGAGTTAGTATTGCTGATTTTAACTTATTAACTGCTACTGTTAACTTTCCAGGATGTTTAATTCATTAGTTAGCCTAGAAAATAGAAGGAGAAAATTCTTAAATTTACGTAAAATTTTATCGTGTTAAACTTTGGAATAATTAAGTTATTCATTGTGTTTAATACGAAGATATTCCTTCTGCCTAAATAAGAACAATCATATATTTCATAATGTTATGTGTTACAGTAAGATATTTTTCCTTATCAAAATGTATTTATTATAAAAATTATACTTAAAACTACAGAAAATTATGAAAAGAGGCAACACTTTTTTTTTAATTTTGGAAGTGTTACTTCATATCATTTAAATCATGAAATAAAAAGGACGATCTTAAGGAAATACTTATCTTTTACAGAACGCCTACAATCCTTTTTTTAAATTTAATTACTCTTTAATAAGCATGGAAGTAGATATTTTGATAGAAATTAAACCATATTCCAATAACAACTGTCTTCATGCACAACATGTTTGTTAGTAGATTTAGAGGAACAAGTTGTTTTGTATTTGGAAATGCTTCCCTGTGAAGTAATTTTTATAATTTAAAATAGTTTTTAGGGTAAACGTCTGTAGTTAATAATGGACAATATTATTTATATTATTTTTGAATATAGCATACAAGGTATGATTGTTTACCATTTATCTTTGGCCAAAGAATTTACAAAAATCTTATTTGTTTATTTTCTTAATTTATTAAAATCCGAGAAATATTAATCGTACTGTTTATAAACGACAAAAATGTTGAACCTTTGAATAAAATCCAACCCAGATATCTATATCAAATAGTGAAAGCAATATTAAGTATGGCAGTAGCACGTAAGCTATTTTGTTTCTTTGCCCTCTCGGTCAGACGACTACTCGTGACGTCACAATCCAGTGTCCCAGCTTTCTTCTACTAGGAGGTGTTGGTCCGGCTCAGTAATAAATATGCCGCAAGGGCGCATGCCAGTACTATTTCTGGGCCGAGTAGCAGGAGGAGTCGGAATCAGAAAGAGACTCGGAATTAGAGTTAGAATTAGGAGTCGGAATTAGACTTGAGACTTCATGAAGGTGGGAAAACCAGAATGAAAATGAAACAGGAGAGGCGTTGGTTTAGTGGAAATCAGATGATTAACGTGTTTGAAAGGGGTTCTATTATCATTACCTGGATCAGCCACGTGCTTTAGTTAAAGTGACGTCATCCCGGATTGCAACCAGTGGCGTCACCCAAACGGTTCATTGGTGTGTTTAGAAAGAGTTGTTCATTTTGGGCTTATTTATTTATTTATTTATTTTTTCATTTACCAAATGAATAATACTTTTATTCTTTGAGATTATTTATCATTTGCAGCGAATTATTTAAAATGGTATTCTTAAACTTTACAATATACATGTCACTTCTAGCTGCATCTAGTGTCCATAACATCTACTAAAGTTTAACATAATCGTAAAATATGAAGAGGCAATATATTTTTTTCACGGACTCGATTTCGTATCCCAGTAATTAATAAAAATGGAATGATGAGAACATTCAAAACTTTTAAGAGATATCTCACAATTCCTTGTTGAAAATGGGCTTAATTATGTACATTAGGTTCTTTCCGTTTATCGCAATTTTGGTTTTCCCTGAATCCGCAATTTTGAGGATTTTTCATCCCTTTTTATTTTACAAAAGTTTGATTTCTAAATATTTTCTTTTCCTTTTTACTTCAGAAAAGGTTTTAAGTTTAACTTTTTCTTTTCATAAAAGTAATATTTATTTTCACAAGTTTAATTTTTCTTTTCGCTTTTTATTTAACAATGTTATTATATTTTTCACCTTACTTATTTTATAAAAGTAATATATATGTCCATAAGTTTAATTTAATAAACGCAGTCTTTTTTCTTATAGTTTTCTCCTTACTATCTTTTACTTCAAAAATAACTTTTAATTTTTCTTTTTCCTTTTTATAAATGTAATTTTTTATACTTTTAAGTTTTTTCCTTGTCACGTTTTTATCTTATGCTTGACTTTTCCCCCTTTTTAAAATACTTAATGATGTTACATTTCCATTTCTCCAAAAGTTAACTTTTGGAGAAATGCATTTATTTGTCTACGAAATTTAAGCTGGAATTTACATGCATATTAACTCACTTTGCAATCCTCCATGGATAATATATTCTGAACCTTAAAATCGACTTCAAAGCCAGTGCGTGAAATGATCATTCCATATAGTTGAACTGGAATATTACATTTCTTACTTTTTATGCTACTAATACTTAATAGGAAATACTCAGAACTTTCCTTTCTAATGTAATGTACTAACTACTAATGACTGTACTAATTTTTTGAAACATTATATAGAACATCTTAGATTCTCCTGCAGTTTACCTTATTGTTACAATTTATCCTGGTTTTAAATCACCTTGAAGTTAAATTTCAGATTCCTTTTCCCCAAATCTAAAATACAGATTTTCACAATAATCTTTATTATAAGACCTATTGACTTTGA